ACGATACAAAGTTACAAAAAGAGGAGGTTTTCTGGCTTTGGATAAGGGAAACTGTCATGGTTTTTAGGTGCTTGACCCACATGCAGAACTAACACAGGAGGCAAGAGCAGTTTCAGATGTTTATTAAACAAACAGCAAGGAACACGGACACTGGAAGCTGAGGATCGGTAGAGTAAACGGGTTAGGCGGGACTTGATCAATCTGTGGTGAGAGCAAAACTTAGACACGTCTGGGAGATCGGGAGAACGAGTGAGAGGGAATGTTAATGAAAGCTATCACCGGATGATGGAACCGGGCCGGGGGGAGTGGAGAGACGGACTCAGTGGGGAAGCTCTTCGAGATGTTGCCAGGTGACTGAGTGACAGGTGGGCAGCTGATGAAAGTCCATGAGGAGGGCCCCGAGCAGCAGGGGCCGAGGAGGGATATGGGGGCAGCTGATGGAACCAGAGGGACTTGGCAGGGTCTCCAGCCCGGCTTGGTACCACCAGGAGAGCTGGAGGGATTGTTCGGAGGAGGATCCAGAACAGTCAGAACATGAGATCTTCCACTGACGACGTCTGAGCATGAGGGACAGCTGGAAAGGTTTTCCATAATGAGAAGCGACCTGCGAAACACAGGAGACTTGAGTTAGTGCAGGAAAAGGTAAGCTGTCAGAGACAGAGGCCTGTAAGCATACCAACAAGGTTAACACTCTGGCGTCCATCAGCTGTCCGAGAGCTGCTTATGTGGCGGGGCCGCACGCCACTGAACGAGCCACAGGTGTACCACACCCACCTGTCAGCTCCAGCCACCTGCAGAGAAGAGAGAAAAAGGCAGAGCCTGCAGAGTCCTGACAGAAATTAAGGGTTAAATGATCAAAGAGTTGTAGGTATTAACTGCCTTGGGAGTAATCAGTAAGTCAGACTGGAAGATTGTTGCTACTCCTCCTCCTCGCCCAGAACTTCTGGGGATGTGAACATTTTTAAATAATAAAACCAGTTACAGAGATGTTAAAAATGCATTAAACTGTGATGAGGCTTAAAATGGACTGGATCAGCTTAGCTGGCCCCAGGAGGTCCGGTCCGGTCCGGTCCGGTCCGGTCCGGTCCAGCTGAAATAAAGGAAAGGTTAGAGCTGAGGTAGCAGGGAGCTAACAATGCTAGCCAGTCCAATGTCTCTTCAGACACAGATGGTAAGACCACATTGGTTGGTCAGTCGGCTCAGTGAGCATTAGCCTTATTCGGGTCAGAACCATTAGCTGTTCGACCAGAAAGCTTATTTCTAATAAAACATAAACACAGCTAGCTATTCTACACAGGTCACCCAAGCAGAGCACTTATCAAGCATCAGATGGAAAAGAGGAATGTTGTTTGGGCTCGGTGGAGTGGAAGAGGCTTTCTGCCCCGTCTTTGGTCCAGTCTGTTCGTCCAACAGCAGCTTTCAAAGACATTTGGATTAATCAGATGCAATAAGAGGCAACTTTGCAGGGGTTCATTTATAACTCACAGAAGCCTTAGACGGTACATCTCCCTTTAGCTACGCCTGTCCAGGCAGCCCAGGCAGCGGGTCAAGCAGGTGATGGTCTTATAGCATGGGTCAGTGGCTCCTAACAGCGGGTTCACAAAACGCTGTATTCAACTCTGTTTGAATCGCAGGAAAAGACGCCATCGGCTCCCTCTGAATCGCAGGAAAGGTAGTCTGACTCTGTCCAGTAAGCACAGAGCTCTCCACAGGGATTTGGTTGCTACTTAGCGTAGCTTTCAGCTGAGAGCCGGCGCATGTCTAGCCTTACGCGGCCACTGTCAACAGGAAGTAGAATATAAATCAGAGGGAGTCGCAATGACATTTGATCTCAGCACCAGAGGTTAAGGAAAGCCCTCCACACTGGTTCCTTTCAGACCTCATCAACATTTAAACTGGTTCTTTAAAACAGTCTGAGCTCCAAAATGTGAGATTGTTGTTATTTTTTTCCTGTTTAGAGTAAACGGCGATTTGAGCGCGACTGCAAGGAGGCGGAGCGAGCTCAACACATCTCAGACAGAATCGAGCTGGACAAGGCGGATGGAGAAAAGGTTCTACACCCTGAGACACCAGAACATTTGGTCAGCAGGAGAAGCTGAGTTATACAGCAAAGCTAGATCACCATCATTTACCTGTAACTCACCTGCATCAGCTAGCAATGCACCGTTTCACAGCTTCTCTGCTGCCAGTTAGCTCACAGTCGCTCCATAGCAACCAAGCACTTTGATTTACGGTTGTTATTTCTGTTGAACTGATTAAGTCTCTGTTTTCTTCTCAGCGCTGCTCTCTGAAGGTACGTCTGTTTTTAGAAATATCTCACTTTTTTTCTAGAAAGAGATTACCTGGCATGTGGCCAAAGCTAACCTGTGATGTTTTTGTCGTGACCGTTTTCAGGCTCGCCAAACAGCTCAGCAGAAACAACAGGCTGCTGAGGAATCCAGGAAAGATTATGTCACCATTTTAAACCAGTTTAACAAGGACCAGCACCAGCACTACCGCACTCTGGTACCAGTCATCTACCAGGTAAAGCCCACCTCTAAAGGCCATAGTGGGCAAACCAAGCTCCGTATAGCTGGCCCAACATCAGCCCCACGGGAGACAGTTTCTCGTGCCCCTCATGGAGAGTCTTCTGAGAGGAGATATTGGAGAGCATCCTTCTAAAGCAATGATCACGGTTAATATCAGCAACGACGTTGGTCCCCAAATCATGGTTTAAAGCCTAAAAGCTTTATAATCACTTGCAGCCTCTACGGACTGCAGCAGGAAGTGCTTGACGGCGGGCCGGCTGCAGAGAGCCAGCATACTGTTTTAGTGGCATCATCATCCTGATGGACCGGCTGCACGTGTTTTCAGATGGACTTTCTAACTTCACCATTGTGTGGCTCCCGGGGAGCAGTGTGGGGTTAAGGGTCTTACTCAGGGACCCAGAGTGGACGCTGTGGGAGTGGGGCTCGAACTCAGAACCTCTGGGATCCAAGCTCTATGCCGTGACCAGTAGGCGGCCACTCCTCCTTTGGTGACAGATCCTTCTAGATCTGTGTTGATTCTCTGATAACAGATCCAAGTCTTAAAGATTGTGATCTCTGATTATAGATCAGTGTGTATCAGATCCTTCCTCAACAAGCATTCAAACTTTAATCCATAATCCAGGGATTGAATAAGTTGTCAACAGATGAGGTGTAGAGCGTTTGGTAAATAACTGAATGATTGTTTTTCAGCGTATTCAGGACATGGAGGAGCGGCGCATTGAACGAATCGCTGAAGCGATGCGTTTATCTGCTGAGTCGGAAAGGAAAGTGCTTCCTGTGGCAAGTCGCTGCCTGGACGCCATGATGGACGCTGCTGAAAGCATTCAGCCGAGGAAAGTAAGTGTTTATTTTAACTATTTGTTTCTGTTCATCGGTTTTTTAACAATTATTTTGATATTGCATCAGAATTTACTTTTTCCTTTTTTCATTTCTTCTGATTTGTTTGTTTCTTAAATGTTGGATTAAAGTCATGCTACATCACTCTTAGCTTGAGTTACAGCTCCCCTGCTGGGTGCTTTTAGAGCTGCAGCTCTGTTTGCAGATCTATCCTGCCTTTAATCATCATAGCTGTGTGTTTGTTTGCAGGACACTGGCCATGTTGTGGAGGTTTATAAATCCGGCTTCGACCCTCCAGGTGACATTGAGTTTGAAGACTACAGCGCCACCATGAGGCGGAGCATCTCTGAATCCAGTTACCTGGACAACCGGGCTGAAGGCCGGAGACAAAGCAGGAAGCTTTGGCCATTTTTACGTAAAAATAAGGTAAGCCCCACCAGGTAGCCCCATCTAGTCACCAGGTAGCCCCATCTAGTCATCTGGTAGCCCCATCTAGTCACCAGGTAGCCCCATCTAGTCACCAGGTAGCCCCATCTAGTCACCAGGTAGCCCCATCTAGTCATCTGGTAGCCCCATCTAGTCACCAGGTAGCCCCATCTAGTCATCTGGTAGCCCCATCTAAGAGGTGTTCTACTGACATTTAACTGGGTTATATGATTAATTCTGAATAGATTTAGATCCATCTTCTTC